CGCTCCGTCATCCCTTATGCTCACAGCCCCTCGGTGAGGAAGCTGTCCAAGATAGCCACCCTGCTGTTGGCGAAAAATTACATTCTTATGCAAGGTGAATAAGTTCCTTTGATGCGAAAACCTCGTGTCTTCTCTCGTTGTTGAATTCTGAATTAAATTGAATTTAAATTGACACCGACTAAAATAAGAAACGTGTCGCTCGCCCAGGAAACGCCTTGGAGGAGCTCCGAAGAGTAATCGCCGTCCTGCAATCGCCGCACGCGCACACCACCGCCTTGCCACCCACGCCGGTCTCCTACGACCTCCTGCAGGGATTCCCCGGCAAGTTGTTCCAAGGGGTGCAGGAGATGCAGGGACTACCCGCGAGCGAACCTCAGATCGTGACCGGCCCTCCGACTGACGGCACAGTCGCCAGCGGAGAATCGAATTAAGGAGTCAATTTTTTTTGTCTTTTTTTTCTGCGGCTCCACTTCTTTTTTATCTTTCCGTAAAAGACTTTTTCCATGAATCGATCGCACGAGAATTTGAACCATGCAATTAAATCGGTAAGAACGTCGAAAAATCAAATAGCAAGATGTACGATTCAAAAGTAGAAGCAAAAAAGTGACGATCGGTAATTAATGTAAGATACGGTGGATGTGGATTTTTAGAGATGAAGGTAATGGAAATACGAAGGCATTTTTAAAGATGGAGATAAGAAGTACTTTCAAGAATGGAAACGCCTTTGGACATGAAAGTATTAATTAATAGAGTATTACTGAAGTGCTAATTAACTCCTCGAGAGAGAGAGAGAAAAAAAGAGAGAGAAAGAGAGAATAGATTAGCCTTTTAAATATTAAGTATATCATTTATCCACAAAATCAAAACGCGGAAAAACGAATCGTACAATTTTATCTTTTTCGTGCAAAAAAGAGGATTGAAGTAAACTGTAGTAGACAAAAGAAATGTCACATTTAAAGAATTAAAAATTAACATTGAGACATTAAAAAGTAAACGCTGAAAACAAGAACCATATAATATATATAGGGTAGTCCTTAAGTATACTGAAAGATTTTAAAGTTGATTTCTTACATTAATTCATATAACTTTATATGACTACGTGTCTGAAAGGCTTATTTTTAAAGATACAGAGGGTATCAAAGTTGAAGGAAAAATTTCATTTCTTCCTCAAAAATTCGAAAACCATTCGGGTTAATTCAAGAAAATTTTGTATGCGTGTAAAATTTCATCAAAATGATCCGAGTGATTTTTGAAATTTTTTGAAAAAATGAAATTTTCTTTTAACTTTGACACCCTGTATCATTGAAACTAAACTGTTTTGGATATATAGTTTCGTTTCGAATTAATGTGAAGGATCATTCTTTAAATCTCTTAGAATACTTAAGGATTACCTTGTATATACATGTATACAATACATATTACATATATTTAGAATCTAAGAAAACAACTTCTCAGCGAAAAAAAAAAAATAAAATGTACGGTGTTTTCAAGTAGCACCAATTCCCTCCAGTGGATTAAGTAAGCTCACTTTGGAATCCAGATGAAGTCTGGATGAAAGTATTGCGAAAGTACTAGCGATTAAGTGATTAATACTGTCACGATCTTACAGTCAATGATGCAGCAATAAGACGATATGGCGCCGTTTTCGTTCATCCGATAGTCGATTCTCGAAGAGATAGTATCTCAATTGCTTAATAGTTCTTTGTACTTCCTTCATGAAAAAGTGTAGATTTTATTCTAAAGAAAAGTTTCCTTTTCTTTCGAATAAAAGTCTTTTCTTTAGAGTAAAAGTTTAGGATAGAAGTCTATCTGGATTTGCGAAGAGAAAGGAATCGCGAAGATGGAAAGATTCGAGGAGATTGGAAGGATTTCCGATGTTTAAGGATTTCTCCGATTTTCGAACCAAACGGAAGGACGAGAACGTCGCCAAGGCTCGGGACGCGAAGCGCTTCCGAGTCTCGTCCTGAAACACGATAGTCAATATTAGTATGTGATACGTATGTCGAGGAGTTCTAGTCGTATATACAACATAAAGATATTGAATATTCATATACACATATACAGTATATATATATATACATATATATATTTAATAATCTAAACGACGCATCGACTTACGACTTATTTATATACTTAAGAGTCTACTATACAATGTGCCAATAAGGATTTGTTCGCTTTGAAGAGCGAACGAGTGAGAGAGTGCGATTTGAAATGAGAAGTGAGAGAGAAACATGGGATTGGAAGGAAAATGAAAATTATTTATTGTGCTATTTATCAGAGATATCGTGCGATTTTCTTTTTTCTTGAAACGCCACCCTCTTTCGCCGAAGAGGAAAGCGTCTCGACGAAGACAAGGAGGATATACCTGTTGTAGAATGTAGATAATAATTGTTTAGTGCTCTCGAATAAAATCTATTTAAGAAAATCGCATTCCGATGTCCGACGAGGTATGTAATTATATATAGCTATCAGAGAATTTTACGTTTTATTTACAATTTTATTTAATTTGAATTTACTTTAATTTTTCAAATTATTTTAATTTAATTCTATTTTACGTTACATATTTCGCTTCAGTTCATTTTATTATGTTTCTATCAGACTTCTATAATTTCCACAATATTTTCTATTATTTTTCAACTCTATTTTAAATGAGAATATTCTTTCTGTATCTTCCCGTTGTTTTTCTTTTCTTGAAGATACCAAACCATTTCAAGATTGTTCTTCGAACAAAATTTGAAAAATATCATTTTACTGATAAGAAACATAACTACTCAGTTTACTTTTTTCTTTTAAGTAACAGTTATCTTCGTACGCGTAGTTATTTTAATTGTTTAGGGAAGGGGAGCCAATTAAGGCTTTTAAATCCGAGAGGGGAGGGCAATCGAATTTTACTTTATACTATTTTTAATTAATTACTAGCAGGTAAATCATAAAATCACACGTATTTATAAATTTACCTTACTTCTTAAAATTGTAAACTTATTTTTCGAATTGGAAAAACTTAAAATTATAACACTAGCCGTTTCTGAATTATCAGAAAATCTTTCTATAAATTTCAAATTTTTTCTTCTTTTCCAAAATTAATTTCTTGTAACTACTCAATAAGCACAGTCCGTAATTTTTTGTAACTATTTTTGTTCTATTTTAAGATTTAGAGGTCATATCCCTCTGACTTCCCATGATTATCTTTAACAAGAAATATTTTCTTGATAATCTCAAAATGTACTTATTACACATAAATTTTAGAGAAAGAGAGAAAAACTTATCATATACTCAAAACAGAAATTTATTTTCTTTTTAAAAATATGATTTATAAAATTAATCGTAGAAGAGATTTTATATAAGCAAATTAAATTTGTTTTTAATTGAAGTGTTAAACTTATTAGGATTCAGAATATATTTTGAATAGATTTGATGCTTATGATGATTTATGACTTGCAAATATATGAACTTTTGAATACTTGAAACAAGTAATTAATATTTAAATACAGTATCTATATATATGTTTTTGATGTGCGCATCTTAAGATGCTAATAACAAGAATCTACAAGAATAATTCCGCAAGACTATAAAATCTACTTTCTATTTCATCTTCATCGCATCAATTACAGAGTAAGATTGTCGAGAATCTAAACCTATCTGCAATTTCAAAGCTGCCGCCTTCGAAGTAGCGCTGCTTGCCGATTATAGGAAGCTTCTCTCCGAATCACCTGACCCAACCCAACCTGACCGTCCAATCCTCATCGTCATTGTTTCAAAATTTTTTGAATCCTGAAAGCGTATTTTGCCAGCGTCGGTATTTTAGTGTTTCGAGGAAGGTTTATAAAGATTCGTCAGACTTTATTACCCTGTCATTGGTGATAAAGTCACATCCAATACTGAGGCAATCGGCAGTAGCGACTGCGATAGCAACATCGGTGAATCAACGGCAGTGGCTACAACCTGGAACAATGGAGCGACGATGGCGAAGGCGGCAGCAATGGCGGAGGTAGTAGTCGACTAGTGGCGCCATCGTGGCAAACTCTTCCACCGCGCTGTGTTCTCATTCAGCCGCCTTCTGTCCTGGCAAGAGGACCTGACCGTCGCGATCAGAAGCAGGCTGTGCCGTTTGTGCGTGCGTGCCCTCTTCAAGATGGCTTTGTCCGCCGTGGCGCAGTGATATCACTCCAGAGAAAGATCATAATCCCAGCTTGAGTTGGATTACTCTGGAGTGCTGGAGGGAGGTGGAAAAAACCGCCAGCACGACGACAATCATCACGATTACGACGACGAGGAAGAAGGTGCCAGTCAGCAACATCCTGAGCTGTGTGGAGATGTGACGCTCGTCGGCGAACCGGTGAGTCTCTTCGTTTTCTTGACCTCGCGCTTTATTTCCGAGGGATTTGGACCAGAAAGGCTCGTTCGAAGTCAGAACCCCACGTTCGTGATGACGTAGTCGCTGCGTCGACGAGAGAGTGCGAGAGAGAGGAGCGATTTTGAGAGGTGGGAGAAGGAGAGAGGTGGAAGAGGGAGAGAGAGGAAGAGAGAGAAAAAAGAAGTGTTGTTAAAGATATGATGTTAACTGTCTAGATACTGTTATTTGCAATATAAAGTGGCTGAGGACGTTTCTCGCTGCGCCACTTTGCGAAAACGCTCAGGACCTGGGCAGGTGCAAGCGCGGATAGACACTCGGTTGGCAACAGTTCCTCGATTGTTCGGTAAGATAAGTAACAGGAAAAAAAAGGCTGTTTATAGGGATAAGAGAGTTTGCAATAATCGCTGAATAGTTAAATATATTACGCCTTATCTCGCTTTCTCGCTGTTGCGTGTACGTAAGAGACTTCCTCATTAATGATCTTGGAGCAAAACATTTTTTGAAGCAGGAAAGAAGACTCGTAATGATTTTCCGAATAGAAAAGTACCTTGAAGTAAGAAAACTGTCCTTATTGATGATTTTGAAGAGGAAAAATATTTCGGAACAAGAAAGCTCTGTTTATTATTGATTTTAGAGTAGAAAAAAGTATCTTGGAGCAAAACAGTTCTTCCTATTTATAATTTTGGAGCAGGGAAATATTTCAGAGCAAGAAACTTTCTTTACTGATGATTTTGAAATAGGGAAATATTTTAGTGCAAGAAGACTGCTCTTATTGATGATTTTGGAAAATATCTTGGAGCAAGAAAACTTTGTTTATTGTTGATTCTGGAATAGAAAAGTATCTCGGAGCAAGAAAGTTTTCTTTATTGATGATTTGGAATAAAAAAGTATCTTGAAGCAAGAAAACTGTATCCTGTACTCCTTATTGATAATTTTGAGAAATATCTCGAAATAAGAAAACTCTGTTTATTGTTGATTTTGGAGTAAAAAAGTATCTCGGAGTAAGAAAGCTTTTTTATTCATGATTTTTTGAAGTGGAAAAATATCTCGGTGCAAGAAACCTCTTGTTATTGATAAATTTGGAACAGGAAAATGTCTCGCAGCAAGAAAGCATGTTTTATTGATGATTTCGAAGTAGGAAAGTATCTCGGCGCAAGAAAACTGTCCTTATTGATTATTTCGAAGTAGAAAAGTATCTCGGAACAAGCAAGCTTTTTTTATTGATGACTTTGAAGTAAAGAAATGTTCACGCGGTGCCAGCTTGGCGCCTCGAATTTGTCACAAGTATTATTTTGAGTTTATACTGCTGAAATTAGATTGATAAATAATACGGAGGAGTACACTCGCGCGAAAGTGTTTTAGCACTTAAGATAAACAGGCATGTGAAGCTAATATCTATACATATATGCATGTATAAGTAAATACGTCAACTAACCGATAGCGCGAACCGCTTTTATGCGTCTGTTTACAATATTTTAAACGTCACGTAAGAAAAGGCAAAATTAAATTGCTTGAAGATATTTATGCGAACTTATCGAATTTTACAAGAAGAGCGCGAAAACTTGTGCCACTCAAATAGAAATTATCTCTTTATTGAAATCAATAAATTAAAAAAATTCTCGGTCACTCGACTATTTAAATTGAAAAAATTTCTCTGATTTATGCGACTATTTTTTATGATTTTTTCGGGTGGTTGATTTATTTTATCTATCCCCATTGCGTAGCTA